AAACTACATTATAAAAGTAACTACCAAATTTTTCCACAAAATCTCCATACAGAACTTGTACTCATAAACAGCATGCAGGTACAAGTAACAATACATTATCCCAAAATCCATATGCAGACAATCATATATTTCTTCATAAATTCCCTTTCCCCTTATCAACTGGTTGTCTGACCTATAATGCACGTTTTAAAAAACCAAAATGAGGGTTAGACCTTGAGGTCTAGTGAGAAATCTCTTTTTATGAAATTATCGGGTGAATATCACCAAAAACCTTTTATAAGACTCATATTTGTAATAAATAACAAATATACACTGTTTTGACAAAATTACCCTCTTTTGCCACATCAAACCACAAAATACCTATTTATCGCATAACACATTAACTTAATGCTTCGTATAACACAAATCATAATTTCCTCATAACACCTTGGGTGAGACAGCTCCATTTTCCTCGCAAGACACTACTGCGAGAACCCATCTCATGGCAACACACTTCATCGCATCAAAGCCCAGAGATAAGACCAACCAGAGCCCCTCTTGTCCCTAAGGACCAGGGCCCCTCTAGTTCAACTATACTCTGAAAGAAAGACTTCAGCACTCTAAGTGTCAGATATGAAGACAAAGTCTGAAGATGATTTAGTCCAAGAGGACTTAGTCATAAAGTTTTCGGGAACCAAGAGGTTGGATACAGAGCTCGGATACTTGACAGGTTTCCTTATGAGTGAGTTCATAAGTTCAGTCTCTAACTAAGGCTTTCTACGTGTAGGGCTAATAGCATTAGCCTTAGGGCAGACATAGAATCAATTAACATCTAAGAAAAAATGACGACTTAAGGTAAACATGAGTTCCTGGCTTAAGCCAAATGATATCGGCACAAGTTAAGTAAATTCTTTAGTTTAGAGTTCAATTCCTACCTTTGAAAATTCCTTAGCAGTGAGGCTACTATCAATCAGCCGCGACAAAGTATCATATTTCTGGTTGAGATCCATTCCCTTCATTTCCTATGAAGTTATTGATTCACCCTAGAGCAAGATTCGACTAAGGGAAAGAAACCCCACTTATTAGAACCTAGGATTGGAAAAAATGTTATATGAGGACTTCAAGATCAAATAGAATATTTTCCTTTCCATTCCTCAGAGCTTGGACACAGAGCTCGGCTACAGAGCTCGGACATAGAGGGTATAAAGACCGAAGTCTTGTGCACAAATAGCCAAGTACTTAGATACAGAGCTCAACTCTCAGACACAGAGCCTCTGCATAGTACATACAGAGCTTTTGGGTCCCTTACTTAGTCTTGTGAAGGTTCTATGGCTCATCAGACAAGCGTTCCAAGGTTCAAATGAATAACCAAAAGCAAATCCATTTAGAAGCCAGACCAACCCAAAAGCACGGCCAACCAGAGGCCCTCTAGTCAACCAGAGGCCCTCTACTCAACCAGAGCCTCTTGGTTAACAATAATATTTAAACACTTGAAAAGAATTTGGATTTCAAATACAACCAGAGGCCCTCTGGTTAAATATGAAGACCAACCAGAGCCCCTCTAGTTCCTCAGCAACTGCTCACTTTATCAAAACCATAATTTATCACATCAATAGGATGCAACAACCCCGAGTCCTCGCATCACACAGATGCGATAACTCAAGGTCATCACATCACAAGGATGCGATAAAAAATTAACATATGATCCAAAACCCAGATTTTATAACTCATTACACATGCGATAAAATCAATCTCATCGCATCATATAGATGCGATAACAATAACCCATGAACAAAAGAACATCATTTCCAGAAATTGATTATGTCACATTTATCCCAATATATCCAACTCCTGATTATGCCACTCTTATCACAAATTTGTCCAGCTCCTGATTATGCCACCCTTATTACAAATTTACCTAACTCTTGATTATACCACCCTTATTTCAAATTTACCTAGCTCCTTGATATGCCACCCTTATTTCGACACATGATATAATCAATGATAAAAATCCACCTTTTTGCCAATAATGGCCTCAACACAATTTTATCTCAAAATATCATATAAATAACCATAAGGTTCTCATACCTAGTTTCCAAATAAGGAAAATTTTACACAAGTTAAACTCACGTATGAAACCTTACGATTTTTTACCCAAAAATACACTAAAGGATGTTTGCAAAGTAAAACTCACTTGGATTCACAAAGAAGCAGATAACAGCAGCACATATTCAAGCAAGAATCACATAAATCATCTTTAATTTATCCCTTTTCGATTCTGTTTTGCTTCGGCTCAAAACACATATACACATAGAGAAAAGCTCCCTTTTTTTCTCCACCAAAATCAATGAGATAAGATAAACATCTCATGATAAACTCATTTAAACAAAGCATAAGGAAGTGGAGGTTTTTCTTTAAAACATATAATCACACTTTCCCAAGAGATAAAACAATATCTCACATATAAGAAATATAAACCATAAGAAGTGAGGGAAATTTAAAATCATTTAAGCACATAAACAAATTAAACTCCTCAACTTATCATCATTATTTAAAATTACCCCTCAACTTTGTAACCGAAAAACCCGGTTATCACATATAATGGGTAATACCTAATGGATAATTAGCTTGTATATTTCCTACTTTTTGTTTTATGCTAGTATAAATAATGAACCTTAGTTATTTTGTAAGTAAGGAGCAGGAGAGTCAGTAACTTATTACAAGTTATGATTTCTGAAACTTTAACTCTTTAATATTAATCTTGAAAACTTTTGATACTTCTCTATTACTACAACAATATTCTTCATTTCTGCAAGTTTATTTTCTTCGCAGTTAATTTCCAGCACTTTACTTTTATGTCATTTAAGCTTTTGTCATTTCATACTTTTCTTCACGTTCATAAATGTTAGGCTAAACACCCTAGCTTGCGTGTAAGTGGGAGTTGGATGTTGAAGCCTTAGTGCTCGTGAATAATTGCTTTTGTTATAGCAATCTACTCCACTATTCACTCTTGGACAAAATAATTCACTGGGTAATTTTTGACAAAATGATGCATGTTGTTTCACCTTAGTGAGTTGGACTAAAAACTGAAACAATGTAAAAATTCTAAGCAAGAGGGTTATAGATGACTATATAGAGTTGCAACAACATTCATATGTTGCTAAATTATATGGACTGGTATGGAAGAATTGTTGTGCCACGAGAAATCCTTCTCTATACAAGTTCTTAGACAAGGTTTTTGAAGAAAGTTAAGATATATACCATACTTGGATTTGTGCATCTCCATGCTTATTGCTAATAGAGTTGTTCAAGGGAGGTATGACTCGCTAAACCCAACATGTGTTGGCCTGTTAGAAAAGCATGCTTAGACAATCATTCTCGAGAAAATGGGTGGGCTTGGGCTGGGCCGCTAAAATTAATAGGCGAGCTTACGCAATGTAAAAAAGAATTTGGACAAGCCCGCTCAGCCCGTGATATTATTATAGTTGATTAAATTTTATATATATTTAATAATTTAATGTTTTTTATTAAAAAGATTTATAAGTGGCTTTGGGTTGGATTCCCTCTACTAAGTACCAATTACCACCCAAATTTATATAATATGTGATATGTTATATAATATGTCTCAGATCTCGAGTTTGAAATATTAGGTTGATAAATATTTTGCTAGTTTTTTCATGAACTATGTACATCTATCTTTTACGTCTTATTTTATGCCAGAAAAAACATATGTACTTTAAGTGATTTTACATAACTTATGATTTTATATAAGTTTTATTTTTCAAATATAAAAAGAAAGCCTGTTAGCCTGTGGCCAAGCTCAACCCGTTTATAAGGCAAGTACGAGCAAGTCATAAGCCCGCAAAAGCGGGATCAAGTTTGCTATATTAGGCACGTTGGAAAAGAAAATGTTAGACCTGGCCCAAGCCTGCAAATGATCACCTCTAACTACCACTAAGTGTCCAATCTGAACTTTGAAAGAAGGCAGTTTGATCTACTAATGGTTGTGGAAAACTATTGCTGCAACATTGTTCATATGATGTTGTAGCAAGGTTCTACCGCACTTTGTCGTTGAAATTCCAACCAGATCTTGCACCCATGGTTTCCTTTATGGTATTTGTTACATTTTAGTATTGTTAACCAAACTTAAAGATATTTGCATTATGAAGCTTTATTGTTTCCACAAAATCTCTTGAAATCTTGCTTTAAGATTAACTTTCTAAAACTCTTCGCCTTTATACCCCTGTGGACCGATATCTGGTATTATTTACCATTATTATTTGTTTTGGAAGACATTAGTAAGCTATGTATACTTGCATGATTTTCTAGTTGTTATAGAGTTTTAGGGTTATATTTTTCAACACACCACATTTTTGGCGTCGTTGTTGGGGATTTTGCCAAAAAGAGTTTTATTTAAGTCATTTCTAAACTTTGATTTTTCTACCATCAAATGTTACCTTTTTAGTGATTTATGCCAAGGTTACCTCACGGGGAAACTTGATCTGGATCCGAACATTGAAAGAACCTTTAGAAGGAGAAGAAGGGTAGAAAGAAATTTGTTGCCTATTCTAACCACTCCTGAGATGGCCCAACCATTCGGAGTGGACGCAAGACCCAACCCTGAGAAAGAAGCTATTAGGCTTGCTAACTCTAAAAATGTAGGCATCATGTACTATACTATTCCTAACTATAACTAGTTACATGCATGAATACGTAGACCTCCCATTGAGGCTAACCATTTTGAGTTTAAGCCTATCATGTTTCAAATGTTACAAACAAATGGCCAATATGTTGGATTACCATCAAAGGACCCTCATACATCTTAAGTCCTTTCTGGAAATCGTACACCCTTTTCACTTTCATTGAGTGAATGATGAAGCCTTGAGGTTGAAGTTATTTCCATATTCACTAAGGGATAGAGCCAAAGCATGGTACAACTCTTTGCAACCTGATTCAGTTTTCACTTTGGGTGGAATGGTTGAAAAGTTTTTAAAAAACTATTTTCCCCTAACAAGGAATGGAAGTTCAAGGATGAAAATTGTCATTTTAAACAACTGAATGATGAAATAGTTCCCGATGCTTGAAAAAGGTATAAGGAATTGTTAAGGAAATGCCCTCACCATGGCATTCCATATTGCATTCAACTTGAGACATTTCACAATGGTCTAGATACCACTACTAAACAAATACTCAATGCTACTGCAAGTGGAGCCTTTACTGCTAGAACCTATAATGATGGTTATGAAATCTTGGAGAAAATTGCCAAAAATAATGGTGAACGTTCAATGACTCATATCCTATGTATCAGAGGAGAAATAATGGAATGAAGGTGAATGTCCTAGGAAATATCCTAGATAATAGATGGGTGATCGCGTATAGCCCAAAGTTGCTAATGATGTTCAACTATCACATCAATGTTGAGGTTTACTCAAGTATAATATCTGTGAAATATGTCTTCAAATATGTTTATGAGGGTCATGACAAATAGGTTATTCATGTCGATCCTGACCGAGAAAAGGTTGTTATTAACGAAATAAAGAGGTTTAAATATACATGTTATGTTTCGGCACCTGAGACGATTTGGTGGATTTTTTAGCGTTTTACTTTCTTAAATCCATCCTTGCGTGTAGGGGAAAGATGTAATATTCGGGTTTCTAGTTTTGATTTAAGATTTTGGAATATATATATATATATATGTATAYAWWWATATGTATATATATATATATATATTAGAGTTGTGTGGTATGTGTGTGGGTGTATTTTAGTTTAATAAGAATTTGTTGAAAAAAAGGGAGTCGGCTGAATGCCATCCCTCACTGTTTCATTTGCTATAAATAGTAAATGAAGTTTTAGAGAGAAAGTTTACACACTCTCTTTATAGTAAGAAAGTCTTTTTAATTTGTCATCCGGTTTTGGCTGAAGAGGGAAAAGATTAAAAAACAAAGACATTCGACTTCAAGGTGAGTGTTTTATGCTTTGAGGTTTGCAAACAATTCATTGCTAATTGAAATGCCTTACAATAAATCTTGAAATATACACCCTGCGGATTCAACTTTTAAACCGGACAAGTGGTGTCCGGAGTTTTATTTAAACCGGGCAAGTGGTGTCTGGGGTTCTATCTAAACTGGACAAGGGATGTCCGGATTAGTCCTAAATCGCCAAAGTATTTACCGGGGTTCATCTAAACCGCTCAAAGATACTCGAAGTGTTTTCCTTAAACCGATCAAGTGACATCCAGTTTACATCATAAACCGATCAAGGTTTGTCCGAGTTAATGGCTAAATCGCTCAAGTATTAAGCGGTTTAAACCTAAATCACCCAAGTGTTATTCGGGGTAACAATCTTCATGTGTTGTCCGGATTAGATTTCCGGACAATGTTGATCGGATTCCATATCCAGCTAAGTTGTCCAGATTTCATATGCGGGTAGTGTTGTCCGGATTTCAAATCCGGTTAATGTTGATTAGACTTTATTTTGTATTAATGTTCTTATCTTGTTAATGGCGGTGTAGTCGCGAGAGAGATGAAATTGCGATGTAACCGCGAGAGAGATGAAATGGCGGTGTAGCCACAAGAGAGATGAAATGGCGGTGTAACCGCGACAGAGATGAAATGGCGGTGTAACTGCGAGACAGATGAAATGGTGATGTAACCGCGAGAGAGATGTAATGGCGGTGTAACCGCGAGAGAGATGTAATGGCGGTGTAATTAGAGCCTTAGTTAAAGCCATGTGTGGAAGTTATGATAATAGGTGGATTATCTGTATGTGGAAATTGTGGGTTGTTATAGTTGGTATCAGAGCCTTAGTTTAAGGGATTTGGGTATTTGTGAAATACTTAGACTTAAACTAGAGGTGTGGAAGTTATGATAATAGGTTTCACTGGGACTATGAACATGGGGAATATGTTATAGCTGAACTTATTATGAGAAAGATAGATTATATATGATTGATATACTCTGAGTTATGGATGGATTTGAGGATAAAGGTGTTATTATGTTTTGATTATATGGATAATCATATGTGTTTAAATGTACAGAAAGAGACGTATAACTGAAAAATGGCAGATAATCTAAATCAATCGGAAAGAACCTCTACCGGTTATGAAAGAGGTCGGGGAAGAAGAAACGTAACACAAGGAGAGGACCCAGAACATGTAATGACAATAGAAATGCGAAGTCGTAGCAGAGGTCGAGGAAGAGGTAGAGGTACTAGACAAGAACAGGAATTGTCGGCCCAAGAAAGTTTAATGTCTGGTCGTAGTAGAGGAAGAGCAAGGGGTGGACACAATGTTCCTAATCCTAGATTTATTACCCAGGAAATGTTGGCAGCAGAGTTGGGAAAGTTCCAAGAAAGTTTGGTGAACTTGTTGGAGCGTACAGCCCAAAATAATCCAGAAGTAGTAAGAAATCCCGATTATCAGGAGGAAGCCGGAGCTAGTACCCCGGTAACTGGTACATCTGTACCCCTTACTTCATCCTCAGTACAGAAAGGAGTAGATATCAAGATGTTTCTTGCTTGTAAACCTCCTAAATTTTCTGGGGAGTGTGACCCTGTTAAAGCCATGTGTTGGCTTAAAGAGATAGAGCTGAGTCTGCAAATTAGTAAAAGTGCAGAAGAGGACAAAGTCATGTTTGCTGTATCCCGTCTGAGATCAAGTGCTTTGTACTGGTGGGAAGTTCTGTCAAGTTTAGATCCGAACATTTTGAAAACCATGATGTGGAAAGAATTTGTGGTTAAGTTTAAAATGCAGTATTGTCCTGAAGCGGCAGTACGAAAGTTAGAAGACGATTTCCTTCGTCTGGAACAAGGAAATATGTCAGTTCGTTAGTATACGGAAGCCTTTATGGAACAGTCTCGGTTCGCTGAAGCTTACATTATATCGGAAAACAGTAAAGTGAGAAAGTATATCTGCGGTTTAGAATCTAATATTTGGAAGTATGTGATATCCAGGAATCCGACAACATTTCAAGCAACAGTTGATGCTGCTGAAATACTAGAACAAGATATTAACGCAACCACAAGAAAAGGTTGGAGAGAAAAGAAAGGGAGAAGCTACAATGATTGATTTTCGTAGACCGAGGTTCATGGAAAATTTAAATCGACCAGTCCCAAGGTTTGCTGATAAGGCATGCACACGATGTCATAAAATACATCAGGGGAATTGCAATACAGAGTCGCAGGTATGTTTTAAATGTTAGGAACCAGGACATATAGCTCGAGACTGTCAAATGACATGAAGATGTTTTACTTGTAATTCATCTCAACATGTAAACGCTGATTGTCCACAAGCGAAGGGACGAGGGTCTGGATTTGCTGGAGGTCAAGGATCTGGATATTCTAGGGGCCGAGGATCGGGTTATGTGCCAACAGGTCGTGGGTTAGTAGATAATCGTGTTAACCCAGGGGGTCGAGGAGAGATAAGACGTGGGGAGTCTGCAAGTGGGAGAGCCTTTCAGATGACGAAAGGCGAGGCGGAAGAGCACCTTGAAGTGGTGACATGTACATTCTTTGTTAATTCAGTATGTGCCAAAGTTTTATTTGACTCTGGAGCAAATCGTTCTTTCGTATCACCATCATTTGTTAACTGCATACATTTAAAATCTAAAGCGTTAAGTGAGGATCTAATTGTGGAAACAACAAATGATAGTGAAGTTTCGATTAAGGAAAGGATTGATGAATGTTTTATAAGTATAGAAGGGTGTGAGGTGCCTATATAGTTATTTCCTTTACCTTTACGGGAATTTGATATAATCATAGGCATGGATTGGTTAGCTAAAACCAAGCTAACATAGTCTGTGATGAGAAGATGATCCATATAGACTTACCGGAAAAAAGGAAAGGTTGTGATTTATGGAGATCGACGGGATCGTTACTCTAGCCTTATTTCAGTTTTAAAGGCTCGAAAGTATGTACAGAAGGGATGTGTTAGTTTTCTTGCATATGCTATAGATATGAAGAAAGAAAAGGGAAAGATGGAGGATATCCCAGTCGTAAGAGAATTTCCTAAGGTATTTCCAGAACATTTGATAAGTCTACCTCCGGATCAAACGATTGAATTCCTAATTGAACTACTTCCTGGAGCAGCACCCGTTGCACGTGCACCATATAGATTGGCTCCTTCTGAGATAAAGGAGTTAATGTCTCAAATAAAAGAATTGTTGGATAAAGGTTTTATCCGACCAAGTACTTCCCCATGGGGTGCGTCGGTGCTTTTTGTAAAGAAGAATGATGGATCAATGAGAATGTGCATTGATTATCAGGAGCTGAATAAACTAACAATCAAAAATAAGTATCCTCTCCCAAGAATTGATGATTTGTTTGATCAATTGGTTGGGGATACTTATTTTTCAAAAATTGATTTTCGATCCGGTTATCATCAATTGAAGATTCGGAATGAAGATGTGTCGAAAACGGCATTTTGTACATGTTATGGTCATTACGAATTTCTGGTTATGCCATTTGGACTCACAAATGCGCCTGCAGCCTTTTTGGATATGATGAATAGGGTGTGTCGTCCCTATCTTGATAAATTTGTGATTGTCTTCATTGATGATATTCTGATATATTCTCTGTCCGAAGAAGAGCATGCTCATCATTTGAGATTACTCTTGGAATTACTAAAACAAGAGAGATTGTATGCCAAAATGTCAAAATGTGAATTTTGGCTACGAGAAGTCCAGTTTTTGGGGCATGTTATCTCAAAAGAAGGTATTAAAGTAGATCCACTCAAGATTGACGCCATTGAAAGATGGGAAGCCCCAAAGACTCCAACTGAAATCAGAAATTTTCTGGGATTGGCTGGGTATTATCGTAAGTTTATACAAGATTTCTCTCGTATAGCTACTCCAGTAACAAAGCTGACAAAGAAAAATGTGAAATATGAGTGGGATGAAGCACAAGCTCAGGCCTTTTAGATGTTAAAGAACAAGTTATACAGTGCACCAATTCTATCCTTGCCAGATGGAATGGAAGATTTGTGGTATATAGTGATGCGTCAAAAATGGGTTTGGGTTGTGTACTGATGCAACGTGGAAAGGTAATAGCCTATGCTTCCAGACAGTTAAAAGATCATGAAAGGCAGTATTTTACTCATGATATGGAATTGGTGGCGGTAGTATTCGCTTTAAA